TCATTGGATTTACAAGAGCAGACGTAATTGTGTTTCTGTATTTACTTTTTCAGACACCTTCATAGCACGAAAGATGGCAATAAAAAAAGTTCTATATGATAGATTAGGAGTTAAGGTTGATTTATGCTTGCAAGGACATGGTACTAAAAACACTGGAAATTTGGCGAGAAGGTGCTTTAGTGAGGCTTCATTGTTTGCTGAATGTTTAGAGTTAGATAACACGTTAGTTAAGAACATCTCACACATTTTACTTTGCTTCAAGTCAAGGAAACGTTTAGATTTAGATGCATTGGAACATGTATCCATGGAGTGGAATGAATCCATCCACTCATAAATGACTAAGACATGGATGTGAGGTCTGCATAAGCAGCTTCCGAAGCGACCGCAAAGATATGAAATTCCGCGTTGACCACTGAGCCCGTACCCAGCCAACGCTTCAGCTTAAGTGATGCAAGTTTAGGTAACTCACTCCGCCATGCGCCAACCAATCTTCTGCTACATTCATTTGTACTAGCTCATCCTAATCTACATTTGAACGCCATAACCTTTGTAACAAAATTTTAGCGCGAATTGTATTTGAAACCCCAAGTATTGCTGAAAAGAGCCAAACTGTTTCGATTCGGCAAAAACATATTCCCTATCGTGAATTCCGAGGTCAATGGTCAACTAAAAAAACAAAAATTTTTCTGATATAAACATACCTAAATGTTTTTTTAAATCGTTTTATGCGATATACATACATATAAATGCACATATGTATGTATGGTGGATCATATCTATGTAATTTTAGATACACAATTTCACATGTACATATATATAATGAAAATTCGTCCTTGTATGAATAGATATGTATATGTACATACAAACATTTGTGTGTGCGTGTGTATGTTTGTGTGTAAGTGTGTATGTGTGTGTGTGTGCAGTAATTTAGTGACTATCTACATACTTAACGTTAATATAGGGGATTATCTTAATCAACACATCACACATTTCAAATGAGCAATGGTAAAACTATTCGAGTAAAATACCACGTTGATAGGACAATGTTCGATGGAAAATGTGTCAATACCTTAGTAGGAAATGCAGCTAGAAGTAGATGTTCTATATGTTTAAAAACCTCACATCAGTTCGGAAACGTGAACGACGAGTTTATTCCCAACGTCGAGTCTTTATTATTTGGATTGGGGCTGGTACATGCCGAAATAAAAGCGTTCGAGCATTTGCTGCATTTATCATACCGATTACTTATCAAAACATGGGATGTACGTGCCAACTTGCATGGTGAGGTTGTTTAATCATTGGATTTACAAGAACAGACGTAATTGTGTTTCTGTATTTACTTTTTCAGACACCTTCATAGCACGAAAGAAGGCAATAAAAAATGTTCTATATGATAGATTAGGAGTTAAGGTTGATTTATGCTTGCAAGGACATGGTACTACAAACACTGGAAATTTGGCGAGAAGGTGTTTTAGTGAGGCTTCATTGTTTGCTGAATATTTAGAGTTAGATTACACGTTAGTTAAGAACATCGCACACATTTTAATTTGCTTCAAGTCAAGGAAACGTTTAGATTTAGATGCATTGGAACATGTATCCATTTAGTAGAATGAATCCATCCACACATAAATTACTAAGACATGGATGTGAGGTCTGTAGGAAATTCCCAATGCCTATAGCATTTTACTCCGAAGATTCAAGTGAGGCATGGCACAAATTAAATAGAAGAAACATGAAAGAGAGAGCTCGCCAGGACAGCAGACAGCATAGAATTTTAGATATATTTAATCGAGCTGTTTACTTGTCGGATCCTAAAATATCCTAGAAAATCGTTTGAAATTCAGTAAACAAACTATAAATATTCCAGAAGAAATTCAAGGTATTTTCATGAGGTAATATATTTAAATCTTATGAAATTTATGCAGAATTCATGTTATTATAGTTTATGAATTGATTTATGTTTTACAGAGCTACTACAAACCATGATGCTGATGGTGTTGAAAACTGAAGCATAGAAATATATAGTTGAATACGATAATCCCCTATATTAACGTTATGTATGCAGATAGCCACTAAATTACTACGCACACACACACATACACACAAACATACACACGCACACACAAACACATGTACATATACATATCTATACATACAAGGACAAATTTGCATTATATATACATACTTGTGATATTTTGTATCATTGAGCAATGAGTAGCCGAAGTGTAAAGACGTGTTTTTAGTTCGCTCTTGCTTTTTCTTTGTGAATTTTTCTTTGTATCCTCAATTTATATCACAAATTGAAGACTCGTGTGGAAAGTGTGATAAATCATTTGCTAGAAATGACTCCTCAATAGTGGCGTGTAGTGGGTTTTGCAGAAAACGATTCCACCGCGCTTGTTGCCAAGGCCCTGTATCTGAATATGATGTTAATCTTTTTAAGAAGAATCGGCATATTAGTTACAGGTGCTCGGATTGTGTGAATGTGCCGGAAAAAATTATAAAAGCATATGACTCTGTTCTGGCTACACAAAAGCTTGGTTTTGAGTCGGTCATTTGTGCTCTAGACAACAAACACAAAGACTTATCGGCGAAATTTGATGATTTTAAGAATCTAATTAATTCTATTTGCCTGTGTATTAATGCTGCCAACAACAAAAATGCAAAGTGTTTGGCGATGCTAGTTGCTGATGTTAGTGCTCTGAAAAGTGCAGCTGTTCCGACCAATGCTACTGTTGCTCATAGCAACTGTAATCTCTATTTCTCTATTCCGAACATTTCTACTGAAGCTGATGCTGCTGCTCTCGCCCTCGCCAATGCTGGCAAGTGCTGATTGTTTTGGTGATAATTCGCAAGCACAGGGGAATAATAACAGTTCAACTGCACCGAAGTCGATGAACAAAAAGCTACTCGCTAAAGTGAATTTAACATCATGTTCGGCGGGTGCCTCGCACTCTTCATTAGATAGCACTGCTGGTAATTCGTCTTCCCCTGGTTTGCCTATTTCCCAATTGGCTGTTGAAACTGTTGTGTCTGAAACTAATGTTGGCCCGGCTGTTGATGAGCTTGTACCTGTGGATGCTGTAGATACTGCCGCTGCTGCCGATAAGTCTGGCTGGAAAACAGTGCAGAGTAAACGTGATAGACAGCGTCATAAAATTGTGGTAGGACGTAATAATAACAACGATCTTCGAGTAGTAGCGCGTCATAAGTGGCTCCATTTATCTTCGTTTAAGCCATCGGTTACTGAAGATGATATTGCAAACTATGTTGCGAATCAGGTCAGCATTGATAAGCAACACATTGCCTGCTACAAGCTGATAAAAAAAAGATGCCAACGAGAGCTTACTCAAATATGTCAACTTCAAATGAGGTGTTCCGGAGTATGTATATTCCAATATCCTAAAGCCGGAAATCTGGCCAACCAACGTAAATGTTCGACTGTTCCGTTTTTTTCAAAAGCAAGTAAGGCAGCTCCCCTCAATGTAGCTGCTCCACCCGGGCCAAAAAAGCGAATACGAATTTATTTTGAAAATGCCTCAGGACTCCGAACCAAGGCCGATATTGTTCGAATGTTAAGTGCGCACTTGGAGTACGACATCATTGTTATCGTTGAGACTTGGCTCAATGCAAATTTTTTCGATGCAGAGTTTTTTGACCCGATCATGTATGATGTTTTCCGGAAGGACAGGCATCCCATCAAAACAGGATGTAGCAGAGGAGGCGGCGTGTTGATTGCGGCTCGTAACAACCTCCAAGCCTCGTTCTCTCCTCTTCTGAACGAGGACACGATTCTAGATCAACTCTGTGTTCGTGTTGGAGGTTCCCTGGGTTTGCTGTATATCTTCGCTTCTTATATACCTCCGCTTAGCTGTGATAGCTTATATAAGTCGCATGTTGACAATGTGTTAGCTCTCCATCGAAATTTTGGTGATAGTCAACTTTGCGTGCTTGGTGATTTTAACCTAAGTAACTTATGCTGGTCGTATTTAGATAATAATCTATTATTGACTCATAGAAATGTACACAGTCCTATGGAATCTTATGTTATTGATAACTTCTTGAGTATTGGCCTTACACAAATAAATGGCCTTGGAAACAATATAAATCGTCTTCTAGATTTACTCTTTGTAACCTACAATATAAACTTTTAATATCGCAGCCTTCGTCTTCGATATCTCCTCCTAACTTATATCACTTACCGCTGGAATTTGATTTCGAATTTTTTTAATATTTTGATGACCCCCTAAAACAAAAAAATATTTCATACAATTATAATCGCTGTGACTTTGCTGCGTTGGATATAGAGTTAAGTGACATAAATTGGGATGTCTTGTTTCAGGATACCAGAGTCGAAGGTTGTTTTAACTTATTCAAAACCTATTTATCTGACTGTTGCTCAAAGCATGTGCCAGTTTCCAAACCAAAAATCTACAAACCTCCTTGGTTCTCGAAGGATTTAAAGCGCCTAAAAAATTTGAGAAATAAGTTTTTCAGAAAATTTAAGTTAACAAAAAAGCAATGCTATTTCAGTAAATATCATTTCTATAAAAATGAGTTCTGTAAACTAAATAAGACCCGTTACAAGAACTACATTCGCGACTTCGAATCTGGGCCCTTACTCTGTAGTTCGAGTCGAAAGGTTGTTCTATTCGAAAGCCAAATTCGAATCGAAGCCCCATTCGTACTCCATAGTTCGTTCGAATCAACTTTCGAAGATATTCGAAAAAAGAGAGCAACACTGTTCGCCAAATGTCAAACGCAATGCAAAATAAAGAAAGAAACTAAAATCAAAACAAGATGAAATTGCTAACATTTCGATTGCGAAGTTTGTGCACTTAAGAACTCAGTAATTGTTGTGTTAAATATATTTAATATTAGTGAAAGTCCTTGATAAAAAAAATTACCAAATGGATTCAGTGACGATATGGTTGGAAGCAGATGAAGGCCAAGTGGCGGAACGAGTGCAATTGAGAGCGCTTAGGGATAAGGCCATATTCACTCTCAATGATAAATGGTAAAAGGATTGCTTTATTTGTGACTATTTATATTTTATGTATTTATAATTATCCCTTTACAGTTTTACGCAAAATTTCCGCCTAAACAAGCAAGCGTTTCGGTACGTGCTAAATGCCATTACGCCGGAGTTAAGTACTCCTCGAAAATCCACAGCAATTCCGCCCATTATTAAGCTGGCCGCCGCACTGAAATTATTGGGGCAAGGAGGTTATCAACACCAAATTGGCCAAGACCAACACGTAAGCCTTTCTCAGCAGTCAATGTCACGCTGCCTTATTGAAGTGTGCAAAGCCATTGAGAAAACGCTTTGCCAACAACACATTAATTTTGCAAGTACGGACGCAGAGGAAACAGAGGCGAAATTATACTTCTATGAAAAGTGTGGCATTCCGGGCGTGTTGTTTGCAATAGATGGCACACATATACAAATGATAAGACCAACAAGGAATGAGCATTTGTACTACAATAGAAAACTGAAGCACAGTATGAATGCAATGGTTGTAAGTATTGCATTATCATGAAGGTTTTCAACAACAATTTTTCAAATTAAAATTCTTAGATGTGTGACCACAAGATGAGAATTAGAGCTGTTGACGCGCGATACGGTGGTGCATGCCATGATTCCCATGTATGGAACCTGTCCAGTGAGAGAAGGGCTTTAAAAGCTCGTTTTGATAATGGCGAGAGAGGGATATGGAGTCTTGGTTAGCATCAATTAATACTTTAATATCGATAATGTATTAATAATTGCATTCAAATTATTTAAGGCGACTCAGGATATCCATTGGAACCATGGATGTTAACTCCCTATCGTAATGCCGCCGAAAATTCAGCGGAAGGCCGGTTTAATCACTGCCATGCCAAAGGACGGTCAATCATCGAACGAGTATTTGGAATATTGAAAGGAAGGTTTCGATGTCTTTTGGCAGCACGCGAGCTGCATTATACTCCGCAAAAGGTTTCAGCTATAATGAACGTTTGCTGCGCTTTGCACAACATTTGTCTGCAATTTAAAGCTGAGCTGCAACCTTCAGAAGTTTTTCCCACAGAAGATGTACATTTATTAGAAACTGTGAATATGGTGGAAGCGGACAGTAGTACAGCAAATATTTCTAGGAACTTAAGAGATGAAATAAGAAACAGTTTAATTGCATAGGTGTAGCAAAATATTTTATTAATTCAAGTGTGTGTATACATAGTAGCTCAAAATCAAATCATAAAGTGATATTTTAACAATATTCGCAATGTTTTTAATTCTGAAACTTTTTTGTAAATATTTTAAAATAGTATAGCTGATTATCTAAAAAAAATCGTATAAATCTAAGTTGTAAACTTGTGCCAAAATTAGGAAATATCAACAAATTTTCATACAAATTGCCAACTTTTTTACTAGAATTTCTTGACAAAAATTTGGCCTGTTAAACTTAAATATAATGTGGAAGTTCTAAGTCCATAAAAAATTCCGTTGATTTTTGATAACTTTCTTTGCTGACGGTCTTGGACATTTTTTTCCATACAAAGTATATTTTTTTATATGGAAGAAAATGCA